CACATATCTCAGTCATAGTAAGTACTTGTCCTACCTAGCTATCTTAAGATGAATGCATTAACTGTAAGTCGCTCTGGATAAGAGCGTCTGCTAAATGACTAAAATGTCATAAGGAGTCAAAAGACGTGACATTCTGCTTGACTTAAAGCACCGTCTTATGAAGTGTTAATATCGCCTTATAAACATGCATACAACTTATAAATGCAGTCATAGAGCATTATGAAACTGTATAGCAAAGTAATAAGGCACAAAAGCCCAATGTGACTGGTGCCATGCCCTTATTTGGCGGTCAGTCATGTGAAAGACCCAGCAGCCTCTGCGGCACATCATCTGTCCATCTTTTTACGAGATGAATAAAAACGTTCATCTCTCATCTCATAGCTGGTGTCAGAGCAACATGTTGTGGTAGCTCAGCCCTAACTCTTACCTAACCTCTATTCTAACAGTCTTTTTCCCTCCCATCTCTCCCCTCCCCTCCTCATCTCCTCTCTTATCCATTCCTCTCCTCTTCCAATCCCCTCTCCTCTCATCCCCTCTCTCGCGCTCCTCGTTCAATTCCCTCTCCTCCCACTCACTCTCTTCTCCTCTCTCTTAGTGTTGAAAACACGACTCTAATGGTCAAGAGACCGGAGCAAGTTAATAGACTCTACAGGCAATGTCCCTGACTCCCCGCTGTCTTTCTTCCACTCTTCTCTCCGTCTCTCTCTCCATCCCACCCTCCTCTCTTTCTCCCTTTATTTTTCTGCTGATGGAGAATTAAAGGGGAGAACACCAGACATCAGCAGGAGGGAGTTCAAAGGCTGAGGCTGAGCAGAACTCTGGTTAATGAGTTGCTATGGCGTTAACATGAAATGTCTGAGTAATATTTTTAGGGCAGAGAATTTTTTCCTGACCAAGACAAATTCCAGGTTGTACTTATAGCCTAAGGCCAAGTGTGTGTGTGTGCAAGCGTGTGCACAGAAGGCCCTTATGTGTTGCAGAGTCCAGAGCTCTGGCCAGAGACCAGACAGGAGGACAGATCCCCAAGCCCCGCCCCTGAGGAAACAAAAGTCAGCAGTCACAGAGAAAGAGGTCTCCACCAGGAAGGGACCTGGAGGATCAGGACCCAGTGAACAACACACAGAAGTGTGCAGACAAAACACCAGCATACACAAGAAAACCTGTCTTCAGTTCCAGTGTGTGTGCGCGTGTGAAGGGGATGAACAGCACCTACGGAAATATTTTGGAAATAACCCCAATCAGTGTCTTTGTCATGCTGTGAATGGTGCTAGGACATAGACACCATGGCAACACAGGGGAGACTTGAGCTATAAGCATAGAAACTGAGTGGCCCCCCATTAGTCCATCAGAAAACACACACACCCAAACGCACCTGTCCATACTTCCATCTGTTACGTGAATTCCAGGCACACAGTAGAAAGTCAGATCTCCTCATTGTTGAGTTCAGTGAAACTGATGCTGAGTTATGAAGAACAAGGATCAGACATGACCTTTAAGCCTGATTTATGCGCCCTCTGCTCCAAATGGGCATACCTGGAATTCTGCAAAGGCCATCATGCACACACAATGCAGAACCACTCCACAACCTTATTAATATACTCAATAACCACGACACATTGCCCACTGAAATGACCTGTTGAAAACTTGTAATCATTATTATCATAATTTATTACCATCACTCTTATGCAACATGTCTGAACTGTTCCAGTGGCCTATTCCAGGACCAGGAGGTTTTCCCTGGCCCGCTAATCCGCTTTAATCCAACCGTCCTCCCTCGATTCTGCCTGTCCAGTCAACAAACGGTTCCTCTGTGCCAGGGTGAATGAAGTACCAGCGCCAGAGAGAAAATCTGCTATAGCCTACAGCACCGCACTGTCCGGTAGGCATAACGGTCTTCAACAAGAGGCTGGGGCATTTGGCCAAGCATTTCATCTGAACAAGCTGTTCACATGGGTTGCAAATTAACCGTTATGATGCTGTCAAACCAAAACCAATCTTTCATGTATGAGGTTAGTTACACTGTAGGCCTAACAGGCCTAGTGATAAATAGGCTTAAACAGTGACCGATAAATAATTCTGGATTAGATAAACACAGAAAACCATGATAACCACTCGCTACTGGTCAAATCTCTTTTTATAAGGTCGGAGTATCAATTGATATCAGTGTTTTACTGCCTGCGTCTCCAAAGGTCATTCATATGATAGATAGCGGCACAACTGGACCTGTCAGAGCGGTGGGGCGGGGCAGAAAGTGAGGATGAATGTAGTAGGCTAACCTAAACAATAGCCAAGACTGCATTTAACAACAAACAGAGCCAACTGAACAAGACATGCATAACCGGTTGTAAAATAATGGACTAAAACGCACGAGACCCCCTTATTTAGGCATAGGCTACTGTCTAGGTTTTTGTAAAACAGTTCCTACATAGTTTAGCCTACAATAGGCCTCATTGCTTTCCCTAATTTCACAGAGTACCCCGTGTCACATAATTTGGAATGACATAGACTAGCCTACAAAAAGTGACATTCGATATTTCTCTATCATAGCGTACCCAACGAACACTCGTCTCATCCAGAGATATCGGCTAACACTAGCCTACAGTCCGTTAAATAGTCCGTCATAGAAAGCCTAACATCTCTGCTGGCTTCCAGTTAAACTGTGAACTGAACAGTCCCTAAACCGATACAAAGTATCCAGCGCGAGCGTCCGGACTACATTCGCCAACAAAGTTTCAGAGGCCTACCGCTGCTCACCAGATGTAAATTCATGCCCAATTAGCATTGACAACAATAGGGCTTTTGGAAATGTTAAGAAATAACACACTCACGTTCCGAGGATCTCTTTCAATTCAAATATTTTCTTGATGTCGTCGACTTGCTTTTTCCACGTCCCTTTCCCGGAGTCTCCATTCTCCAGAGCCATGGTGGAACAGGGGGAAACCGGGGAAAACGATGCCAGTGCGTCTCAGTAGCCCCCCGAGATAATGCAGCTTTCCCACGCTTCGAGTTACACTTCCTGCTCGTGAGGTGCAGACCCACGCGCATAGAATGAGCTAGGCAGAAAACCTTCTCGAGCTCGTGGTTTTCCCGCTGTAGAAATGTCACCGCAGCTCTCGAAACAGGTCTCCTGTTTTCTTCGCTTTTTTTCTCTGTCTACAGCGTTCACCGTCTGCGGTTGCACCTGCAGGGTTCAGCTGGTCTAGATTATCTTGACGTAAATTGTTTCGGGCTACGTGTCACCTTGTCTCTCTCTCCCAAAAAAGTATTCCGTTTTAATTATGTCCTCTGTTGAGCCGTGCGGTGCGTAATGTGAGGAGTATTATTTCACCTAACCATGCTGATTGTGCCATCGGTTGTTATGGCAATGAGGGAGGGTATGATGCTGCTCATCGCTCGACCTGACAGCGTTGCGCACAAATGTGTGAGAGAGCGAATGTGTGTGTGTGACTGGATGTCTAGAGATAATTCGCATTGCACCAAAGATACGTTCCCAAAAGCTGAGTATTTGCAAACCATCACAAACGGACAGACCTGTTTCTAAATATGTGAATTATTATATATTGGCCTGTGTTTATTATGGTGGATATTAGGCTATACCAGGCCAGATGATGTAGTCTACATTGGGACCCATGCAACCTGATGTGAAGTTTGAGAAAGGGTGCATTGCCTGTCTCCAGATAAAATGTGAAAACGTGTGATCAAGAGTGCTGACATGCATGAGAGACAGGCGATGCAATGAAAAGCAATTCATGGGCCCTACAAAAGTTTTATATTAGACACTATAATGGTCATATTATATAATCTGATGTACTAAATACATTTGTACATTGAGTTTGGGTGTTAATATTTAGATGGTTAAATACTCCCATCTCCAGCAAAGCAGTCTCGACTGCAGTGTCTTATCTGGAGGCACTGTAATCCACCTAAAAAAAACACACGGAATAGTATCCTCCAGTCGTGACGAGAATTACTGCAGACTGTTTTCATCTGACAGGCCTGCCAGAGCTTGTGTATAGGATAAAAGAGAGAAAGAGTGTGTGTGAAAGTGTGTGTGTGAGTGAGTGAGAGAGGGGCCGAGAGTGTGTGTCTGCGTGTGTGCTCTAGACGCTCATGAGTATTCCAGCTGCAAACTACTGCAGTTCCCTCTCAGCTCAAGAAAATCTATTGTCCACTTACCCTACCTCTCCCTTTCGCCCTCCCTTGATCTCCAGCTCTGAGTCAGCAAGTCCCTCAAGTTAGATTTTTCACATATCTGCCTCTCTCCCTCCCTCACAGAAAGATGATTAGTCAACCCAGGCTGAGATGTAGGCTAGGATTTATGTCCACCTTGGCAAGCTGAAGAGAAGAGAGAGAGAGCGAGGGGAATTGAAAAGGGAGGTAGGATGATGATAGGAGATGTGTAGTCTCTCTTCTTTCTATCATTAGTCTGGCACCCACCTTTCCTCAGATGGGTGTGGCATCATTGACATCTTTCTGCACCCCCCCCCCCCCTGCATGCAGGGGCAGTGTGATGAAAACAACAAAAGCACCTGACTCCAGGCTCAGATAATACAACACTGCAGCTCTCTGAACAACAATGCACTATGTCTGTATACAGGCTAGGATCGATTGGTTAACCAGCAATATCCTGCCCCAACAGTACTTTGCTATCGCATTTTACTTACTATGCTATACACTCGTGATAACTATTCAAGACAAAATAGAACATCCAGACATTCCATCCTAATGTAAATACGTTTCACGTGAATGGTGGAGTTGTTATCCCAGACCACGGTCTCAGCCCAGGGCAGCTCACCATCTCTGATGGTTCTCATTTTAGGTAAACATCTCCCCCAAGTGGACCTTAATAAAAATGCACTACTCTCTTTCTCAACCAGCTGGTCCAGTCATTGGTGCCAAATTCCATTGCACTTATCACATCCACTTTAGAGAAATGTAATAATCTACCAGTGAAAGTAGTATGCCTTCTATTTTAGTCTACCCAAAAACAGACCACAAAGTGCACACACCAGCAATTTATTACCCAATCAGAACGCCTCTTTGCCAGCACATAGAAAATAAACCAATGACAAGAATCAAAACGAATTCCACAATAACATAGATAGAACTATAATGACCAGAGAGAGTAAGTAAGGAACTGGAATGTTTGAAATACTGTTGCACAGAGACTTCATGGGTAAACCTTTGTATTGCTATTACATACTGATGTGTCTAACTAAACCATTAGAAAGCAAATTGAAAAGTTTGTATTTGGTGTGTGTGAAGAGAGAAAGTCCAGTGGACTAAGTCAGAAAACTCTCACCCTTTGGGTATCTCCCTCAGAAATTGCAATCCCATGATGTACCTGCTATACACACAAACCATGATTCGTCTCTTCCCCAGCGCTGTATTATAAAGTTGAGCATTCTTTATTCCTATACACAGACTGCTGTAACAGACTCCTCCTTACCTTTACACAACATTAAGTTACAGTATTTATACTTACATTAGACACACCGGGCCAATAGAACAGGAGCACTGCTTAGAACTCCCCTCTTAAATACACACAACCATGAGATTCAATGGGAATTTTACAGTGTAGCAGGTAGAAATGTACTGCATAGAGCGGTCATGATGCTTTTCTCCTCATTATGGTTTATTTGTGTTAGTCCTATTCAATACATTTCTATCTGCAGCATTCTGGATAGGTCTAAGGTGATGACCAAAAGTGTATGGATTCCATCAGAAGACTCAAGAGCTAATAAGGACAAACCTCCATGCGTACAGTAGTCTCTGTGCTAACCGCTAACACTAGCTTAACAGTTTTAGGGTTATTGTTATGCTAGGCTAACAGTCACTGTATAGAGACCCTGCTCCTCAGGGGCTGGGTGTGTCACTGTCGTACCTCTTCCTCAGAGTCCTCTTGCTGGCGTTTCTTCTGCAGAGAAAAGAGGGAAAGGGTGAGATTATAAAAACTGATGACGGAAAATGAAATTTTAAGAGGGTCATGGAGATTGCCAGAGGGTTGTTTTAAGATTATCTTAAATCGTGTGAACCAGCACTGCCATTGTTCGCACCAGTTTGAGGAAGTCGATGAGTTTGTATGCGTCCTCGCCGGTGGAGAGGTCCACAAAGTCCCTAGGGATCCGGTAGCTCAGACAGGGACTGGGCTGCACCGTCACATCACTGGTGGTGTAGCGGAACACAGGGCCTTCCTACAGATACAGACACACCACAAACCAGTGTTAACAGGATAATAAGCACAGAAAGACTTGCCCACATAAACATGTATGTACACCAAAGCATATTTGTCACTGACCTGCTGGGCTGTGTCACCCTCCTCTTGACTGGCTGACAGGCTGTTCCCGGAGGTAAGCTCCTCCCACGTGAACAGCAGTGAATCTGTCACCTCACCAAAGGGGTTGAGATCGATCAGCCACACCTTCCCCTGTCAAACACACACAGGGTCAAAAATGCACATACTCGTAGAAAAGCCTGGGCTACAACCAAACAGAGGCAGGAAATAATGGCTGGAAATATAAATGACAAAAGACTTACCCAGCTATCTCTGTAGACATCCAACACAACTGTAAAACAGAAAACATTTTTGCATTACTCTTATTACAATATATTCTAATTATCACACACACACACTGAATCCCACTCACAGTCCTCATCCAGGAACTGATACTGGACGTGTTGGCTGAAGAACTCCTGGATGGAGTGGCAGATCTGGGCCTCCTGCTTAGAGATGTGGTGGTAGTACTGGGTATAGTCTCTCTGGGAGATACCTAAAGAACACACACACACAGCTCTCAGAACAGATCTTCAGTCCACACAACAGCCCTAACGGTTGCCACACTGTCTTGGGAACAGTGCAAGTGAATACAGGCTCTCTGAATATGTCACTGAGGGAGGGTGAGAGTAAAGGTGAATGGTGTGTTAACCTCTTCATACAGTACTTACCGATCAGCTTGTTCTCTTTGATGAAACACCTGAACTCCCCGCCAGGTAGCAGCTCACTCCACTTCCTCAGGACCAGCTGACCTCAGGGGTATAACCCAACACTATTAAACAATTGGAAGAAAAGGTGTGTATGTGTGTGTGTTGTGGAAAAGACAGTGTGCATGTAAGCAAGGTGAGTGCGTGTTAAATACCTCATAGTTTATGGCTGGATTTGGAGAATCCTCGTCACTGCAGTGAAGGAATCTATAGAGGGAGATTGGAACAGTGACCATTCGGTTATAAACTCACATTAAACTCACACACTAGCATTCACACAAATACAAACACAAGAGTAGTAAGCGTCACACACTTGCACAAATGCTCCTCAGTGGCCCCTTCACGTTTGAAAGCTCAGTACTAAATCAATTGCTGGACGGTGCTGTATTAAGTCTTCCACCATGCCAGAGCTGTCTGCCAACTGTGCCCATTATCAGAGCGCCCCAATGGGAGCAGTAAATCTATGATTAAGCAATCTCACCAAACCTCTCCACAGCCCACTGCTGAAGCAATCTTCCCAGCCCACTGCCTGGCCCATTGCTCTCAGAAAGGCTGAGTCACTACCTGCAGTGTTTTCCACAGCGGGTAGAAAACCCATCTATACTGAACAAAAATATAAAACACAACATGCAACAATTTCAAAGATTTTGTTGAGTTACAGTTCATATAAGTAAATCAGTCAATTGAAATAAATAAATTAGGCCCTAATCTATGGATTTCACATGACTGGGCAGGGGCGCAGCCATGGGTGGGCCTGGGATGGCATAGGATGTGGAGGTCCTGGGCTGGCGTGGTTACACGTGGTCTGCGGTTGTGAGGGCAGTTGGACGTACTGCCAAATTCTCTAAAACGACATTGGAGGCGGCTTATGGTAACAGCTCTTGTGGACATTCCTGCAGTCAGCATGGCAATTGCATGTTCCATCAAAACTTGAGACATCTATGGCATTGTGTTATGTGACAAAACTGCACATTTTAGAGCGGCCTTTTATTGTCCCCAGCACAAGGTGCACCTGTGTAATGATCAGCTTCTTGATATGCCACACCTGTCAGGTGGATTGATTATCTTGAAAAAAAAGTATAAAATGCACACTAACAGGGAAGTAAACAAATTTGTGCACAAAATCTGAGAGAAATAAGCTTTCTGTGCATATGGCAAATTTTGGGGATCTTTTATTTCAGCTCATTTTCCATGCAAATGACTGCCGGTCTCACAGTAATTGACCGTTAACGAACATAAACACGTTTAACATCTCCAGGCCTCCACTCAAGCCGCTGAACTACATTTTTAAAAGTATAATAAATCCATTTAATAAACACCATCACAATAAATCCATTATTTATTTTAGGCAGGTCTAAAGAAACATTATGATTTAAGAAAAGGTGTATTTCAGAAGAACAGAATATGAGTCAGCCTACTGTATGTTATCTAGCTATGCACCATAACGTAGGCTAGTTCATTTAGCAGAGAAGATATGATTATAAGTCTCGTGCCATTATTTTATAGTAAGAAGAATATAATTGAACTTAGCTGAATAAAATAGAAAGGACATTTTTACCAATCCGGAGCGAGGGCGCATATAAAGTGGCTATGTTGAACATAAAAGTGAACATTTGAAACAGGCCTCTATATGCTAGATTTAGAGTTATTTGGCAACTTCAGTTGTGAATGATACAAACCTTAGAATGTCTTAGAAATCAAAACATATATGGGCTTCATGATGCGACAATAGGCTATTGATGATGAGAAAATAGCAAAAAAAAGCTTGCCTCAGGCTACACACGCTGTTCTCTCATCCAGTATCATCATATTTTCACCCATCAAATCAAAGTTTATTGGTCGCGTACACATATGTTATCGCGGGTGTAGCGAAATGCTTATGTTCCAGTAATCAGTGGCAACCCGTCATTCAGGTCAGGTGGAGCAGAGCCCCAACTGTTTAGCTAAAAAATAACACAAATAATAATAAATATATACATACATATATGTAGTTTGGGGTCACTTAGAAATGTCCTTGTTTTCAAAAGAAAATCAATTTTTTTGTCCATTAAAATAACATACAATTGATCAGAAATACAGTGTAGACATTGTTAATGTTGTAAATGGCTATTGTAGCTGGAAACGGCTGATTTTTTATGGAATATCTACATAGGCGTACAGAGGCACATTATCAGCAACCATCAGTCCTGTGTTCCAATGGCACGTTGTGTTCGCTAATTCAAGTTGATCATTTTAAAAGGCAAATTGATCATTAGAAAACCATTATGCAATTATGTTAGCACAGCTGAAAACTGTTGTGCTGATTAAAGAAGCAATAAAACAGGCCTTCTTGAGACTAGTTGAGTATTTGGAGCATCAGCAATTGTGGGTTCGATTACAGGCTCAAAATGGCCAGAAACAAATAACTTTCTTCTGAAACTCGTCAGTCTATTTCTTGTTCTGAGAAATGAAGGCTATTCCATGCGAGAAATTGCCAAGAAACTGAAGATCTCGTACAACGCTGTGTACTACTCCCTTCACAGAACAGCGCAAACTGGCTCTAACCAGAATAGAAAGAGGAGTGGGAGGCCCCGGTGCACAACTGAGCAAGAGGACAAATACATTAGAGTGTCTAGTTTGAGAAACAGGTGCCTCACAGGTCCTCAACTGGCAGCTTCATTAAATAGTACCCGCAAAACACCAGTCTCAACGTCAACAGTGAAGAGGCGACTCCGGGATGCTGACCTTCTAGGCAGAGTTGCAAAGAAAAAGCCATATCTCAGACTGCCCATCTTAATCTTTTCTTTTTATGCTGTGTTTTCTGTGGATTAACCAACTAGGCTCGCAATTTAACCATTTTATTTGTATTTACAGACGGCATACAAGTTTGTTATTAAGGCACATGATAGTTCACATGTTCGAGAAGGCATTTCTGCCAAAAAACGTATTATATTTTTTTTTTTAAGTTGACGTTCAAACGGCTCTCCTGTGAAGTAGTGACCTGCGACATACATCTAGTTTCCTGAAACGGGTCACATTTGTTTAAACAAGTCAGCCATATCAGCTATGTTTTTAAAAAAGGGAGTAAATGAGGCTGCCAGACAAGGCTCCGCTGATAGCCAGGTGTAGCGGTGGTAAGGGTTCACTCCATGGCTCTGAAAAGAAAGCTCTGCTGTTGGGACAGCTTTATGTAGGCCCTAACCATTTGTGGGCACTGTTTGTCACCATTGTGGTTCAATTAATGTATTGTTTAGTGTTGTGTTGTGTAGTGGCTTTGCTGGCATGCATTAAAAAAAAAAATGTTGAGTTTGCCCCACCAAGATTTACATGCTAAAATTGGCACACATGTAAATTTAAATGCATTCCAGGTGACTCATGAAGCTGGTTGAGAGAATGCCAAGAGTGTGCAAAGCTGTCATCAAGGCAAAGGGTGGCTACTTTGAAGAATCTAAAATCTAAAATATATTTTGATTTGTTTAACACTTTTTTGGTTACTACATGATTCCATGTGTTATTTCATAGTTTTGATGTCTTCTCTATTATTCTACAATGTATAAAATAGTAAAAATAAAGAAAAACCCTGGAATGAGTAGGTGCGTCCAAACTTTTGACTGGTACTGTATATAAAAAAATGCTCCATTATTCAAAATCCAATTCACTATAATTGTAGGCTAACTTTGTAAGCAGCCCTGCACAATCAATGGCCTATATGTTCTCGCCCAGACTCATGGATAGAAAGTTTGGAGCGTAGCATAAGGTAACCAGTCCATTCAGTAGGCATAATAATACAGTCCACATTCAAAGGGATAACTAGAACTTGTTTAATTTTATAGGCTAGACCAATTATGTACCAAAGACATTTTTGTTTTTTTCCCGTGCATAATATGTGGTAGGCTATTAGGCTACATATTGTATAAAGGCACAATCATTTTAATCCAGTTTTATTTCTGGCTTGGGCTCATATATGGGTATGGGTGTTTTGAATTAATCATCACCTTAGAAAGCACTGTCCATTTCGTTGTATTTGGCTTTGAACCAACATCTACAACAACCATGTTTTTCACTCAGTTTCAACCTGTTGTTGAACTTCTTTTTTCAAATTGATCATCACAGTGAGTTTTAAAAGCATGATAATAAGTGTTTGATGTGATTTTCGATTGCATTTGCATTGACGTCAGAGTGGTTAGAGGGACAATAGAGCGCTGAGTACCAGGACATTAGCGAGCTGAAGGTCGTTGGCGAGTTGGGTACTACCAACGCATGTCCAGAGTGCATAATAAGAGATTACTGTGACTCAACAGTCACGTGGAATTTGACTGCAGTCATGACTCATGACTGGCGGTAATACGGTCACCGCAACAGCCCTAGTGAGAATGTGTGAGTCCGTGGAGGGTATTCTTACGGCTGTGCGAGGTCGTGGGTGATGAAGTCCGAGCTCTTGAAGAGCAGGAAGATATCGCTCAGACTCTGACACTGCAGGGAGCTGTTCAGAGCAATCCAGTTAGCATCCTGCAGGAGAGAAGGAAACACACACACACTTATTCACTTAAAATCACCACTCAGACAGACACACTGTGGACAGTATTTAAACCTTATACTGATGGTGTTAGAGCAGGGGTGTCAAACGTACGGCCCGCGGGCCGGATCAGGCCCGCAAACGGGTTTAATCCGGCCCGCGAGATGATTTTGAAAATAAATAAATAAATAAATAAATAAATTTATTTTGTATTTTTTTAAGTATAAAAATGCGCTGCAATTTTTCAATTAAATAAACTGCTGTTCCAATTGCGTCCACTGGATGGCGCAATAGCAATTGTGTTAAGCCAGCAAACTGTTTATACCGGGGCAGAGCAAGTAGGTCAAGCATCCACGTGCAGCCAATGAGCTACTTTGTTTTGCCCGCGATATTTATTACGGCTTCTACTTTTAACATTATGTGCTTTGGCACCCTCATTGCCCCAATATGTCTCTGTCAAAAAATAGAAAAGTGGACGCAGAGTGCAGAGTGTTCCAAGAAAAATGGTCATCCTATTTAATCACGGAATTGAATGGGAAAGCTGTATGTTTGGTGTGTTCAGAGCATGTTGCAGTGCTGAAAGAATATAACCTTCGTCGCCACTATGTGAGTCTTCATGCCGACAAATATGACAACTTTCAAGGACAGCGGAGATGAGAGAAGGTGAATGAACTGTTGGCGGGTCTGAAGAAACAGCAGTCTGTGTTTACTCACAGCCGAGACATCAGTGACGCTGCAGTG